TTTTTTTTCATATGCATTATTTCGCGTTTAAAACAAAAGTGTGCATATGCATAATTTCGGTATTTTCTCATATGCATTATTTCGGTTTTCAACCGAAACTGTGCATGTATGCATTACTCCGTTTTTTTTTTTTATATGCATTATTTCCGATTATAGCCGAAAGTATGCATATGCATAATTTCGCTTTTTTCTCATTTATTTCGGATTTGAGTCGAAATTGTGCATATATGCACTATTTCAGTTTCTGTTATATGCATTATTTCGGTTTTCACACGAAACTGTGCATATATGCATTACTTCTTTTTTATCAAATGCATTATTTCGGATTTGAACCGAAACTGTGCATGTATCCATTATTTCGGTTTTCGTTATATGCAGACATGGGCACTTTTTTGCCCGCGCAGCAGCGAAAGTGCGAGCGCGGGCTGGAGAAAGGGAAAAACAGTTTACGGGAGGAAGGGTATGAAAAGTTGGGAAAAAATTATTTATATCCCCACCGACATCATGGTCACCGCAGTACGGCTGCGGTAATACTGACTTTGTGCACCAAACAAAGAGCGTACATTTTCCTCATATACACAATACCATCGTTCGGACTTTCCTCCGATAGGAGTAGATTTGTTCCGTTTGGTCGAAATAATTTGAAGCCTAGTCCTCTACTCCGCTAAACTGAAAATCTGCTCCGTTTTGTTGCATCCACAAATTTACTCTTCAAATAGATTATATTTTACGTTTTTATCGACACGATTGTTACATTGGTGAGCTACAGCACCTTTGCAAATACACTTGAATTCGTGAATAGGCCCTTACAATCGCCCGATTTGAACCCGATCGAAAAAGATTGCTCTGTCCAAAGTTCTGTAATTGGGTCGTTGCCCACCGATGTAACAATTGTCCAATTGTGAATGAAATAACTTTTTATTAATTTTAACTAAGGCATTTTAACTTTAATGATAATTGCTCGCTGGATTAAGGCGCCTTTACACGGGTCGATTTTCTATTAGATTTTTGTCGTTCAACCAAAATCGACCTGTGTTAATGACATCTCAACAGTAAAATGTAAATGCTTTGGCTAGTCGATTTTCTAGTCTACAGAAATCGACCCTTGTAAAGGCAGCTTTAGCCCCTTATTTAGTCCCAGAATACAGTGACACGAGGAAAAATTAATTGTTTTTTATAAAGAAATGGACATCTAGTGATCAGTATTGCCAAGTTTTTTTTATTTAAAAAAGCACCAAAACACCGAAAATAGCGCAATTTTCCCAAAAAACACCAAATTTGTGTTGTTGTGTTTAATGGTAATTTTGCATATAAAGCTGTATGTTCAAATATTTTAAGTAATCACGCAATGCCACTTGTAAATATTTCCAATTATGCGCAGTTAATTAATTTAATTTGCAAAATGTTTTTATTCGTAAAACAATTTGCAAAACTCTACTTTGTTTCTCTAGCGGCTTTATTTTCATGCAATTGCTTACTTTTGTACAAATGCGCACACCCAGCTAATTAGCAGAATATTCCATGAATTCCGTGATAGAGACTGAGTTAAAATATTGCGTTTGGATTATCTGGGAGCATATTATCCAATAAATGAATGAACAAAATAAATACAATGTCACCATAGAATCACGTTTTTTATAAAATTTCCTTGAAAACTAAAAAAATTTCGCGTTTTAATTCCCTAAACGCACTTATTTTATTGCGAAAGGCACAAAGTTGGCAACAGTGATATCGATGTCAAATTTGCACATATACAAGCATGGACAGAGAGTGAGCGCCTGCTTAAAGAGCGTAAGCATCGCATGCGAGTACATGCGAGAGCGTAACAAAGTGAACGCAAAATCATTCAAACGTAATTGGCACACTAAAAGCGCAAACAGTCAACGACGTAACGTAGACGTAGGTCACAATATAACCAGTAAACAACCTTCGGTGAATTTGGCGACTGCCTTCCTCGGGGATGAATATGCTAGGGATGAAATTATTGGTACACACGCCTTCCAAGCACGCAGGGTTGCTTTTAAGAAACAAAAAATAATTAACTCCAAATAGTTTCGAATTCGTTGTTCAAAGTCAGAAGCGTTAACCACTGAGCTATGTAC